TTATGGCTGCAAGAAATGAAATTAGGCAGCCACAGCAACAAGCTGTTCCCTTTCATGGTCTACTTGCAGAGAGAGCAAGGAGTCAGCCTACTGGTCCCCCAGCCTGACTAGCAGATAGGAAATTCCAAAGAAACAATTTCTAATCTCAAACTCACCCACAACCACTTCCACGAGCAGCTTAGCAGTCATGTTGAAAGCTGGCAGTGGTAGCATAAGCCACACCAGACCGGCACTAGATCAGCTAATAGACAGGATCATTGTGATTGCTTCTACACCACAGCTGAAGCTTCATTTCAGAAATACTCAGTTATTTTATCCATGTAGTGTCTGCTTTAAGACAGTAGCACTTTAAGACTCCACAGTTAAGGTAGGTGTAGATCGGATCAGATCTTTCCATCTATTTCCCAAAACCCTGACTGCAGCTCTACAGCTGTACAAAAAATAAACTTGCTTACAGAACAGTCAAACTGGATGAAACTGAAGAGTTGTTCTCACAGGACTTGGAAGGCTTCTGATTTATTCGGGGTGATATGAAGGAGTGAGCTGGGGAGAGAGCAAATGAGCCACGTCCCCAGGCAAGTCCTGCCTCCTGCTCCAAGGCAGCTTCAGAAAGCCAACCAAAGCAGCTGGTCGTCAGACCAGACTCTTGGTTTCCAGCTGTGCTCTGCAGCATGCAGACATGCATTTGTCCTCCTCTTGAAAAGGCAGCAAGGAGCAGCTTCCTCCAGGGGCTCACACAGGAGCAGAAAGCAGCACTAGAGAAGTTTCACGCTGCCTGGAGCCTGCCTCTGCCCTGCTGATGTTGGAGCCAAATTCTACATGTATAGGAAAAGGGAAACTGTTCTCTTCAGGTAGAATACAGAAGTAATGCTCTGGATACAGACTTAATTAAGGCAACGCAACAGTCTTCCTCCACAAAACCTCACCTACCTCAGTATTGATTACATTCTAGGAACTGCAGCTTGTACTGCTCCAGAACAATCAGATATTTGGCTAGACAGGATGCTTAGACTTGTACACACAAGAAATATCCTACAGACAGACATTTTTGGTGGAGTTTTCTATTTCAAGGGATTTTATTTTCAGAAAGCTCAGTTAAACCACGATGCACAGCTTTTCACTAGTTTTCTCAAATGAAAAACCTTCCCACGTTCTTAAAACAGGCCAAGGCCCAAGGAAGGAAGCCTTTGGTAGAAGTGCCAGCCCAGTGGATACTGTACATGCAGCATGGGAGAATGGGATAGGTGCAGTGTGTTACTTAGACAATGTTGCCTCTATGAAAAGTAGGAAGCAGTTAAAAGTATCTTTTTAAAGTCTTTTCCCACTAATGCCCAAAGAAAGCAGGATCTGACAGGGCAGATCTTGCCCACCTGCTAGAGATAGCACCAGTAAAGAATAACTTCACTTCTGAAATTGAAACAAGCCCAGAAATCTCAACATATCCAACACTTCCCAAGTACTATCAGCCTTGAGTTTGCTATGTGTCTGTGTGCATCTGCACAACTGCCCCAGTTCAAGACACAGCATCCAAACCTTGCCTCAGCCTTGCAGGCTGTAACAGTTACACTGGTCAGCCCAAGATCCAACCCAGCAGGAAGAAGAGAGCATTTAAATGGATATTTCCTGTAACAGAGTTAAAAATGCAATCACAGCTTCTTGTTTTAAAGCTCAGCCAGAAGATGATAAACAGAACAGTACTTTATGAATTTTGACATTTATGTGTTGGCCCACAAAGGAGAAGAACACTCAAGCTCTTTATTAAAACACACTTGTATCACCTTTCCCACACAGCCACCAACTTCTAGGCCATCCTCAGGAGCTCAGAGGCCCCTCTCCTCTCACGAGCTCCATCCTGTATTTGCAGCATGAACTCCCACGTAGATCACTGTCCCCCAGATATTCTGTTCTTCCCAGTAAGACCTGGGGAGCATCTGTCCAGTTAACTTGCTATCAGATGCACATCAAATCAACTGCCACTTCCTGAACTTTATGATTAAAATCAAAGATTAGCCAAAGTTAGGTATCAATAATTATATTTTAAATGAGTCCTTTATAAAGTGCTTTTTTGGAGAACATTGATGACTCCAGAAATAATGCATTTATCTCAGCATCCCAAAAAAACCCTTAGTTTTGCTCTTTTTCTTGAGCTCCCCCTGCACAGTGCAGAGCTGCAGCCCCATCATTCCTCAGCACTGAGCAGAGCAGCTCCAGTTCATACACCAATGCAATCCAGATACCAGAACAGACTAAAGACAAAAGGTACACTGGTTTCTAAAGGATAATGCCTGCACTCCTCTCTTCCTCTGCTACTTCTGGAACTTTTGGTTGATTTTCTCCCCCAGCTCTGATCAGCAGAGACTGAATTGAGGGCTTCCTTACGGCATAAAATGACCTCTTGGAATCACAACAGCTGCTGTTCACCTCCCTTACATCAGGGCCAGAAGCTGTTAAACAGATAAAGGAAAGAACAGCCAGGCCACTTATGGCTCCAGCTAAAAACCAGCATCCTGTAACACCAAACACATTCTGTCAGTAGTTCTCAGCTATCCACCCCAAAGGGAGGGGACAAAGTCTTGGCTGTTTCTGTTATCAAACACAATCTGAACAAGAGCAGTCAGCACCAAATGATGTTGTAGCTTATGACTTTTGTCCATCCCACAAAGCAGACACTGGCACACATACAAGTCAGAACACCCATCTGGATATGATAACATTCAAGGAATGTTTGGATTTTGTGTTGAGGGACATGGTTTAGTGAGCACTATTGGTGATAGGTGGATGGTTGGACTGGGTGATCTTGAAGGTCTTTTCTCACCTTGGCGATTCTGTAATCCTGCCTGACCTGGGACTAACGCAGCCAAGGTACAAGTGATAACACACTGCAAATCGAGGTCTTCAATTCTTTACTCACCCTTTAATAAGTCTGTATTTCAAATCCTAAATTAGCACTAAATTCCCTGTTAGATCTTTCCTGCAAACCACTCAGTCACCAGACGATCTCAAAGATACACAAAGCTAAAGGAACAGCTGTCTTTAAAAACTCTGTTAATCACAAGAATGATCTGCATGTTAGGCATATCCCAAAGCTTTCCTAAAAGCACTGCAAAGTTACGGCACTAATATCTAGAAGGACAGAATTACAAAGGAAGCTCGCATCCCAGAGACATAAAACCCATATGGGAACCAAGAGGCAGATCCTTACACTGCCAGCTACCTCAGCTGGGTACACGTGCAGAACAGTTGCACATTATCGCAAAGAACAGACTTAAACAATTTAGTGCTTAGAAGCTCATCTTGAAAGAAACAACTTCTATTATTTGATCAGGTCAATAAAAGCAGCTATGAAATAAGATCACATTCAAGTACCTGGGATTTTCATTCCAGTTCACAATATTTGATAAGCACTACTGTACTATTTGCAGTCACAGGCTCTGACAACTGACACCAAACAGAAGAGCCCCATGATTATACCCAGCTACACAGCCTCGTGGAGAGCTACCAGACCAGGAACAGCCATCACCACCTTTTATCCTCTGTAGGCGAAGAGATCCCAGATTACTTCTAGATGCTAACCCAGTACCTCCAATTTGCTCCAGAGACAATTATTCCTTCCTTGCACTCCAGCAGACTTGTCTGACTACTTCCCAATTCTCAGGCAGCCTACTGATACTTTTCTCCTTAAGTTACTCCACTTGGACACATTAATTGTCAGCCAAGCGCTGCTCAGACCTCCTACTCTTGAAGGGCTGACAACATACTCCTCTCCATCATCCTGTGCAGCACGTAGGTGGAACGAGATCTCAGATAAAGTACTGTACTCTCTACCTTCGGAAGCTTGGACACGCTGCACTTCTACCTCCTTCAGGAACAGACAGCCATTCTGATAGAAAATCAAGAGCTTATCAAGCTGGCCTTGCCTGTGGTTTCTTAAGCAGGCTAACACTTGGCTAATTTTTAGCTCAGACAATTAAAAGCAATGGACATTAGCAAATTCCTAAATAGGCACTGATAATACTACCAGCCAGAAAACTAGCTTGTCTCAAGATGTCACTCCTATAATCTTTAGGACTTGACATAAGACAAGAGCACCTTTTGGCACAGCTGCCAAAAATTCCACTGTTTAACATTTTTCCTGCACATCTGCCTCTCCCCCAGCTCCAAAGCAAGCACACAGAAACTTCTTAGTGAAGCATTTCAGAAGCCCATGCCCCACCTTTACTTATCTGACAAAGATTTCAACATTCTGAGTTCACAGCATTTCCTGTACTACGAAAGAAAGCACTTGTTCTATCTTCTAAAACCACTGTGATCACTAACACCAAAGCAACACAGACACCAGGTGTCACATCTCATCTGCCTATAAACTCTATTGCACGAGCTCCCCTTCATCCTCTACCAAGAAAGATTTTCAGTACTACAACACATGCTTTACTGACAGGCCAGACACACCTCAGCCCTCCATCTAAAGCCTCAAACCTGCCAGGTATTGCGCAAAACCTGCCACAGCTCCCTCAGTCACACTGCCGTCCCCTGCCAATGGGCTTACTGGGGCAATTAAATATTCATTTATTCCCACCATAAAGTCAAGCATCGCTCCACACTACTCCGCATGATTTTCTAGACAAGATCCTCGAAGAGAAAGCTTCACTGCACACGGCAACATGGGCTTGTCACACAAGAAAACAGGCAGGTGAAGTGCTAAGACAGAAGCAGGTACCAGATGTTCAGTCTGCGTGAGGCACAAGCTCGTGCCCAGCCCTCACACAGTAAGGAAGGGGTGTGTGGAAAGAAAGAACCATAGAATGGTCTGGGTTGAAAAGGACCATAATGATCCTTCTACAGAAAGATGCAAAGGAATGCGAGGGCTCATCTGTTGGTGAAGCAGCATTCTCTAAAAGGAGGGACAACACAAGTACAGTGCCAAACCTTAAGCTTCCCTTAAAACACAAAAACTTCAACACGGCATGGGCTCAGGAGGGTTCGCACAAAACTGTACTCACCAGAGAAGGGCAACATCTGCTCAGATCCCACCAGAAGAACGGGACTGTTAAGAACAACATGGGGAAGAAGCACGATTAAAGCCCCCACAAGTAACAGAGAAGCCCTAACAATCCCCTTATGAAGGCAGTGAGCACACCGACCCGTACAGCAGCATACAAGCCGAGCTCGGGGCCGGGACAGCAGGCACCGTCCGGCGGGGTACGGGCAGCCACGGCGCACGGCCGGAGCCCGGCGCGGCCCTGCACCGTCACCTTCCTGAGGCCACCGGGCCCCGCGGGAAGGAGGAGGAAGAGGAGGCCGAGCCCCGCACCGAGCCGCCGAGCCCCCGGCCGAGGGAGCGCAGCGCCGCCGCACCGCCGCCGCCCCAGCTGAGGGGGCGTGCCGGGCCGCGGCCCTGCCTGACAGCCCGGCCGACCTCCGCCAGGCCCCGGCCCGCTTCATCCCCCCGCGCGGCGCCGAACCCTTCCGCAGACCCCCGCCGGCTCCTTACCTCGGGGCCGGGCATGGCGCGGAGCCCCCTCACCCCGTCCCGGGGCGCGGCCTCCTGCCTTGGGCCGGGGTCGCCGGGCTCCTGGCTGCCGCCACCGCTTTTCACCACAACATGGCGGCCGCACGGGACGCGGGTACGGCGAGGAGAGCGCGCCCCCGACACCGCCTCCCCTTCCCTCCCCTTGCTGCCAAGGGCGGAGCGGCCGCCTCCTGTCAGGTGACGCGGGCAGGCCTCTCGTCGGCCCCTCCTGAAGGGAAGGATAAACCCGCCTCTTTCCCTTTTATAACCCTGTGGGGGTGGTGAAGTGCGCGGGGTGCTGATGGGGAGGGAGGGCGTTGTGTTGCTGTGAGCTCTGAGGTGGACGAGCCCTGAGATGGCTGTGACTCCTGAGGTGGCCAAGCACTGAGTGAACTGATTCCCGTGAGGTGACTGAGCCCCAACTGAGGGGGCTGAGCCCCCTGAGGTAGCCAAGCCTTAAGATGGCTGTGACCTCTGAGGTGCCTGAGCCCTGAGCCCCCTGAGGTGGCCGAGCCCTGAGGTTGCTGAGCCCTCTGAGATGGCCAAACACTGAGTTAACTGATCCCTGTGAGGTGGCTGAGCTCTGAGGTGGCTGTGCCCCTTGAGATGCTGTGCCCTAAGATGGCCGTGACCCCTGAGGTGGCTGAGCTCTGAGGTGGCCGAGCCCTAAGATGGCCGTGACCCCTGAGCCAAGCCCTGAGGTGACTGATCCCCCTGAGGTGGCCAAGTCCCCTGATAACGACCCAGCCCTCAGCTGGCTGATCCCCGTGAGGTGAGTGAGCCCCCCAGGTGAACGCAGCTGCCTTGGGGCAAAGAGGAGCCATGGTGATCCGAACCCCAATGCCTGCCTCGTGCTCCCCTCAGGAGGTCTCCAAAAGCTCTTGGAGAAACTACAGATCCAGCTGGAAACCCGGTGCCTGCACACAGCCTGTGCCTTACTTTGCTTCTGTGGCATTCTGGGGCTTGGCTATAAGGACACGTGTGGCCCCTTGCTGTCCATAAATGCGCTGGCCAAGAGCAGCTCGCAGCTCCTCCATGAGGTAATGGAGAACAGGGAGCCAGCAGGCAGTGCGAGAGCCAGAAAGTGCATGGTAGTGGGGAGAAAAGCGATAAAGCAAAAGGGACAAGAGTGCAGAGCAGCATAAGGGCACTGCAGAGCTGGAGGGGGGAATGGCGGCCACGTGCAGGTGGCAGGGAGCGGCTGCAGGACCGTATCTGGGTCTTATTGCAAACGTGATGGATTGTTAATGCTTTATTTTTATACATCTCTTTAATTTACAATGCACTATGTAGGTCAGGTTGTGCTTTTGAGAGATATTTCCACCTGCTCGTGTTTGCCTTGGTCTGGAATGAAGTTATACTAACTATAAAATGTGCTCCTAAATTATCCGCAGGACTCTCCCTCTGAGTCCAAGGCTAGTCATTGTAGCAGATGGACTCCGGTCTGTCATTAAGCCATGCTGAAGGTGGAAGTGGCATTAGAATGAACAACACAAAATACAGGATCCCGTGTCTTTAAGCTCAGATAGAAGCCACACAGTGAGTTGTTTGCTAGCTAGCTTCCTTGGTCAGGGACAGTAAACATTTGAAAGGAAGTTAATGAGCCCCTCTGAAGGGATTTTTTTCCAACAACAAGCCATCATCTGAATGCAAATGTGGTCTGAAAGTCAATATGTACCTTCTGAGGAAATTCAAAAGAAATACAGGTAAATGAAGGGAAAAACAGGATTTCTGGCCTGTTTATACCCAAATGCAACGAAAAACTGTTCTAAAGGGCAGGTGTTGACAGCACCAGGAAGCAGAACATGAATTTTGAAAGCTCCCTGTTAAGCAGTTGCTTCTGCAGTGTGCCTGGAAGGAGATCAAATGTGACCTAGTTCAGAAAACTGAATCCTGGAGACCCTGCTGGGTGCACTGCCTGTATTTAGGGAGAGGAGCAAGCTGCAGTGCCGTCGCAGTGACAGCAAGGACTGAGGGAAAGCTACTTGCTCCCTGCTACTTATTTCAGTGACACAGATTGTCCTCCATGGCACTGAACAGATCGCTTGGAGAGTCCCTAAGTCTTCTGTTCAGATTCCCTCCATTTTGTGCTTCAGTTTTTTTTTTTTTAATGTTATGTATGACCTCCTGTCAAATGAGTTTTAGTTCTGTTTTCTATGATCAGGGATCAGGGCAAAGGATGACAGATCAGGGCAAAGGGTGACAGCTAATGTGAATTACTTTATGGAAATGAAAATTACTGCACCCAAAGGGAGAGCAGTGCTCGTGAGGACCTGATGTGCAGCTTGGGGAACAAGGCATCCCCATACCCACACTTCTGGCAAATCTGGAGCATATCCTCATCTACCCAATACAACGTTTTGAACTTGTCAGGGTAGTAAGGACTTACTGAGGAGCTACCGAAGCACTGCCTGGTTTTAAAAGAGCAACTCAGTCATTTACACCCCTATTTGTCTGACCTCAGGAACTTTAGATGCATTAGAAGTAAATGTAAGGGAAGAAGTAGTTGGGGACAGCTGTGTAAGTAGAAAATGAAGTGAAATATAATGTAGTTTTACTAAAGATAGGTTACATGAAATTGGCAGTTTTCTTCAATAATATTTTTCTAGGCAATTGATTTACATCAGGTTTCATCTAACTGGATTTAATAGAATATTGAATACAGTGCAACACTGCAAACGTATTGTTTATCTGGGGAGCTATTTTGTAGGTGAGAAGATAGCTACAGAGAGATGGCAACAGTTCAGGTAGAAATTGCTGAACAGAAAAGGTGGAGATGTCACCTCAGACATACAACGTGTGGATGTGTGGGCAGCCAGGGAGAAGGCTCAGAGGCAGTGGCTGAGCTCTTGTGCACATCTCTGCTTCTCTCTGAGATGGAGCATCGGACTGCAGGGACCATCAGACTGACTTACAATCTTTGCATCTCACACAATATTTCTCGGTCAGGTCGTGGAACAAAAGGTAGGAGTAAGCTGATGGCATTTGCTGACGGCACAAGGTTGGGAAGCACTAGCAGCACAGAGATATATCTGTATTTCTGGATGATCTGGGTAACACTGAGTGCTGGCACATCAGAAAGGAGATGAAATTTAATAGTGGAAAGTACACGGTCATGTGCTCGGGAAGTGTGAACAGGAATCTCTGCTGCAAGCTTGTTGGAAATGACAGAAGAAGAGAAAAATCTGGGTGTATTTGCTGATCTCAAGATGACTGAGGACTCCCAAGATGAAGCAGTGTGACAAAAAGCACGTATCAATTGAGATGTTTCCAAAGGAAGGGGAAGATATTAGTACCATGATACAAAGCTCTACTGCAACCTTCTCTGGAATTAGGAGCGCAGCTTTGGTCTCTTTATTGAAAGGAGACAAAATGTGACTGGAGGATAATGACAGGGTGATCCAGAGCTTTTCTTTTGTAAAGATTTGGACATAATTTGTCTAGCCAAAAAACCTGAATGCCAAGAAGGGAAATGGTTGCTCTCAACAAAACTTCAGGGAATAAGAAGTAAACACATCTCCATTAAGAGCAAGGGTGATGGTCGTGTAAGAGCAAACAAGTATCCGGTGGCTATGAAGAGTCTGGGCTGAAACATGAGAACATCAGAGCTTCCAACAGCTCCACTTGTGAGGCTCCGATCATCCTCCCTGAGCTGCCTCATCCTGATGCAGTTGCCCCCAGCAGCTGAGAACTGACCCTGAAGAGCCAGCAAGTCCTTTCCAGGCTTCTCTTAGTGCTTCAGACACAGTCACTGAGCCTCTAGTTAGCTTCTGACAAGGACAAAAGGGATTCCTGGTGTGGAAAGACATTCTTTGGGCTGCGGTCACAATCAAATGTCATTTTAGTCAGTGGCTGTATTCAGTGGCTGTATTCAGTGGCTGTATATTCAATGCATTTAAAATTGATGTGTGGTTGTGGTGGAGGCTGGCAGCCTCTTGTTCTGGATCATCCCAGTCCCATCTTCCTGCAGATGCCCATCCTGTATTTGAGGTGCAATCCTGCACCTGGCACACTGAGAAGTGGCAAAAACAAACTTGTTTTAGGCATTTTCTTGCCCTTGTTACCATCTGGTGATCCAAACATCCAAACTTGGTCTTCCTGGGCTGTTTCTGTAATGATGAAAAACTGACGGTAAGGTCAGATATGTCTCAAACACGACGAAACACACCTGATTGTGTAAGAACAGGACTATGGCTGGTGAGGACATCAGGGCCTGCATGGTGTGAGGCTGCCCCTGATTAAAATCTGCCAGCTGAGAAGCACCCGCTCTGCCATTTGTTCTGGTGAGACCCAAAACATGGATGCCGTGAATGAAAAGTAGATGAATAACTTGAAACTAATGAGATTTTTACGACATATCTATTGTCTTTGTCAGAATGTTCCCCAGTTTCTTGTTCTCAGACTGTCTGCTATCCCTGTGTTAACAGAATGCACTGTTAGTGACATTTTGCCAGAGGAATGTGGCATCAAGAAGTTGTCTTGACAGAGGCTACTTATCAAGATGATTTTTAGATGATTACTGAAGTTCTTGGGGGCTTTGAGAACTTCTGGATCAGTGGAACAGCTACAGCATTTTTGAGCAAATACTGAAAATGGCCCTGGGCACCGTTTCCAGGCAGAAGCACAACACACTGAGCCTGGCTTGGCACTGATGTGTGAGCTGGTTGACACATGAGAGCCCAGTTTTAAGCAGCGGGCCAGCTGAAGACATGCTCAGCCTGTTTGTGGAATGAAGGACAGCTCGTGGCCGTGGTACTTGAATTGAACATACTAGTTCTGCTTGGGTCTGTGAGCACAGGGCATTCGTGTGTGGGTGATGAATGGCACCTTGTCTGTGCAGGGCATTTCTCTACCTGGAAGAAGCAGCTGAGGACATCGATATCAACGGTGCACCAGCAGTCCAGTATAGGCAGAATGCTTGGAAGCCTTATGTTCACCTCCCTTATTTTCTTATTCTTAAAAGACTAATAATCCATATTGTTTTTCTAAGCTAAAAGGAAGTAAAACATCTGAAATATTTCATAAGGAATGCCTTTTTAGAAAAGTTAACTGACAACTGTAAGCTGTGTTGTGTTGCTACAATGATGCAGT